TTTCAGCTACCTCAGTTTCAGTGACTGTGGGGTTGATGAACCTAGTGGGGTGCTGGTTTGGGGCTATGCCATGCTGCCATGGCGCCGGAGGACTCGCCGGGCAGTACAAGTTTGGTGGGAGGAGTGGCGGTTGTGTGGCACTACTTGGTGCAGCGAAGTTGGTTTTGGGGTTGGTTTTAGGTAGCTCTTTGGTGAAGGTTCTGAGCCAATTTCCTGTTGGGGTGTTGGGGGTTCTCCTTTTGTTTGCTGGGATTGAGCTAGCAATGTGTTGTAGGGACATGAACTCTAAAGATGAGTCCTTTGTGATGCTTCTGTGCACTGCTGTTTCCCTTGTGGGCTCCAGTGCAGCACTTGGCTTTGTTTGTGGGATGGTTGCTCACTTGCTTCTTATACTGAGAAAATTGGATAAAGGCAAATCTTTTTCCACTGTGTGGATGCATAGAAACCCATAGCTAGGACCATCAGTACTCGTGTTAATGGGAGGTGTCATTGTCGAATTTTTGTTGTGTTTGTGTTAACATGGGTAAAATTGATGCCTCTATCCACTGCAATTGTTTTGGCTCATCTTCGGTATATTTTGTGAAAAAAAACAATGTTCCTTTGTGTTCTGTTCACTATTTATTACAAATACTTGGCATGTTATTATGTTGATGACTAGGGTAACCCGTATTTGAAGGCACGTTTCAATGTGAATGATTTTGAGAGGGATATTGGTGACCGTTGAATGAGTTTTTTTGAGACTATCGAATTAATTTATTGAAATATGCCTTATTTTATATTACAGATTAAACACAACAAGGAAATAAAAGGAAAAGGAAAGGAAATCAAAAGAGCAACCAATGCAGCAAAATATAATTCTTCATTTTCCTATATTCAGAACAAAGATAAAGTTTAGATCAAATTTAAGTACATCCAAATTAATTGTAATTGGCTATGAAGCAGAGATATTTTATTGAAATCGATACTCGTCGAATACTTGAGAATATGTATTATTATACTTATTCGATAATGAATAAAATATGTGAATATTTTACGAATAGTTTTGTACATAGAGTAAGATGTACAATTTTTAATTTTGATTTATATCATGTCCTTTTATATAATACAAAATATTAATAAATTATATTTAATTTTTAAGACACGAGTGTTTTTTAAATATTATATACTATTACATGTCAAAAGAGTATAAAAAATAAGTTAGTTACACTATAATCTTAGAAACAAATACTTGTAAACAAACTATCTATTTAAATGTTAGTTTTGATTCTTTTAATTAGTCATACTCACTAGTCACTTTATGGACATATCATAATGAGACGATATTATTTTTTTTCCAAAATAAAAATTGCTAATTTTAATTACTATTATTAAATAATTATGTAAAATTACAATTTTTAAGTTGTTAAATATATTTTATTGTAGACATATTTTAATATGTATTTTATTTTTTCAAATTTTATCATATTGTCGTATTTATATCATATTGTGCTTGTATTTATACCTATATCTCTGCTTTCTAGGCAATTGATTACCAATCAAAAACATTACATATCTGAAGACTGTAAGGTCCTCTAAATTTTTTGCATGAAAGTCAAATTTGTTTGATTATATATCATCTTCCATCATTCAAATATAATAAAGTAAAATACAATTCAAATCTCAAAAGATAAACAAAATGATTTTTGCTTTTTATAGTTGAGATCTTTTTAAATTTTACTTTAAAATTAATCTGACGGCTAATATTAACACCTTAAATTTAATAGGAAAAATGAGCCCCTAAGGATGTGTTTGGGGGAACTGTTTAAAAGTGTTTCAAGAACTTATAACTTCATATAACTACTTCAAACAAAAAAATAGTGTTTGAAACCGTCTTACCCCCACCCCCACCCCCGCTGCCATCACCACTACTATCACCGTCGTTATCCCACCAGCACCACCATTGCCGACGCCGCCACCACCACCACACCCACTGTCCCACCACCATCATCACTGTGATGTCCCTAAAATCGGGGGTTCCGTTGACGTCTCGTCAACCTGCGAAAATATCCGTCGTGAAAATATCCGTCATTGTCGTATGACTCGATATCACATCTATCACATCCCTGTAACCGGGATTACAATCCATGCGTGGATCCATGTTTTCTTTAATTTATTTAATCTCATTGAGGTTCAACATATCTCAATGTATCTCATTTAAAATTCATTTGAGTCATTGGAACCAAAGACCACATAGCCCAAAAGCATGACAATACATTCTTAAAATTTAAAATTTTTGAAAAACCTTCCAAAAAATTTTGCTCACTGGAAAAGTTCTTCCGGAAAGTTTTATAGACCTTTCAGAAGGTTTTGTCTACTAGAATACAATTTACACTAACCTTTCGCAAGGTTTTGCCTACTGAACCAAAAGTCTNATTATGTTTCCGAAATAGATTGAAACGTTTTCGAAACACGCTGAAACATTTCCGTTTCCTAGGTGACCGAAATAATACATTAAAACGAAATTTTGATCCTAGCATACAAGTAAAAAACACATTGTAAAGTACTATGTTTTTGTTCAGGGACAAGAAACATGAACCTTAAGAAGAGAATAAAGTTAATGTCACACCTTTCACAAAGAACACCATTGAATGTCTTTCACTACTGCTGTGAACAAACAGAAAGTGTCAAACCATGGTTGTTGAGAAAATACAGTAACCCAATGCAGATTATTAAATTTTATAAATGCGGGAATGGGACAACAATACCAATAGACAGGCATTTCTAGCGAGAAGCAAAAGAAAATTGTACATTCATCTGTTTATTTCCATACTAATAGATTTTAGAAAGGAAACCATGCCCTTAGATATATACCTTCGTTTCATACATGTGCACCAATGCTCCTTGACAAGCTTATGCTACATTTCTATCCTTTTTCATTGGCCAGAAGGTAGAAGACAGAGTGCTTAATCCAAATAGCTCGTTTCATCTGTATTCAACCAGACAGCACCATGCTTCTCCTAAAATTGTAGGTGGCCAAAACAGAATACCGTAATGTTGAACTGGAACAAGAAAATTGGATTTGTGCAATTATCCAAATGGGTTTCCTCCTGCTGATGGAGATGGATTTGGGGCGTTGAGTCCTGGATATCTGCCACTGGACGGATGAATTGGGTTTAAGGAGGCAAAAGCAGCTTCCTCGCTGCGAAAGCTACCAATTCCTTGTGGTCTGCAATGATATCCAGCAAGACTTTAGATTATTGTTCCACAGGACACATACAACAAAGAACGAAGACTTTTAATTATGTATTTCATGGCACTAACTATCAAACCATGTCAGCAGATGATCTGGCGAGTCAAGATGAAAACTAATAAACTGTCACTCGTGATGGAGCATGATGGTGTTAATTTCAACCCTTTTTTTTTGTTAGAAGGAAGAATCACACCAAACCCGCTCCCTTCACAGCCTGCGCAACCTGCTCAGGTAAGGCATTTGGAACATGCTTTGGTTACACAAAATTCCGAAGTAGCCACTTTGAGTGGCTATGTAAGAGGGAGTTCCAGTTTTAAATGATGTCTATAGTCATGGTGGTGGTATGAGCAACTTATCTTCAAATAAGAGATTTCCAAAGCAAAGAATTTACCTGGAAATTGGCATATTAATTGCCAATGGTTGCCCCGTGTATGCTCCTGACATAATTGAATGAGAAAAAAGAAAACAAATGGACTAGAAATAAAATAACGGGGACTTTGAAGCAGGCAAACTAAAAGGATGTGATTTTACCAGGAGGCATAGTCATTCCACAAGAAGGTGATTGTAGGGCCAGTGCAGACGCATAAGGTGATGAGTGAGGCAGTAAGCCTGTAGAAGCTGACACATTTGCAAGTGCTCCTTGCAATGATGTCATAGGAGGAAACTACATCACAAAAAACACAATATTTCAAAATTTAGGTTGAAATTTTTGCTTCAAATTATAGAAAAGTCAAATCCTCGCAAACACTTGCATTATAAAATGTTGGCAGACTTAATTAATCTAACTATTTGGCATTCTTATTTTATATCAAGTAAATGTGACAACTTGCAATAAGTTTGTATAAGAATGACAACAGATTGTTTTGCAAACCAGTAATCCCCCACCATCATCCCCCAGTGAAGTTTAATGTTCGTAAGTTCCTTCTGCAGAGACCCACCAGCATCCTCCAGTAAATTAATGATTAATTTCTCGGGGGAGNAACCACCACCACCACCATCACCATCACCACCATCATTCCTACTACCACCACCGTGGTCGTTCCACCATCACCCTTACCGCCACAACTCCCACGACCATCACCACTACCACCACCGCCGCCACCACTCACCACCATCTTCATCTCATTTTTATATTTATTACCACTACCACCATTATCTCACCACCACCATATTATTGCCCACAACCACCCGTCGTCAACAACCACTATCACCCACCCCCACTACACCTACCACCACCTCCTTTCACCGCCCACCACTGTTACCCACCTCCACCACACCTACCACCATCGCCATTCGACACCATTCATCATACTGTCTCCCAGAAGCCACCGTCGTTGCCCACCACCACGACTGGCAACAACCATCACCATCGCCCACCACCACCACTGTCGTCACCCATGACTATCACTACTACCATCACCGTTGTCATCCACGGCTACCACCACTACCACGGTCATTGCCACCCATCACAATTATCACCGTCTCCTACCGCCACAACTGCCGTCCACCACCTCTCACCCCTATTACAACCGATGCTTAAATTCATTTATCTCTCCTTTATATTTGTGATTTAATTTTGGATATGAATACAAATATATTTATTGTTGACAATTTTTTTATTACTCTATGTCTTCAAGCACAAGCAATAACTAGTTCATTAATAAAGGTGCTAAAAACACATAATTTTTTTTAGGTCAAAGCTCAAAAATAAATACATAAATTAGATTTTTTTTTTCTAGGCCAACTTACATGCATTTTACCTAATCTTCTCCTCTGTTTGGTAAAAAGTAGGTCATCTACACCGGGATTATGGTATTTATGAGGGATAAATCTTTCATGATCTGACCCTAAAAAGTTGCTAAGATTTGAACTCACAATGTCTGAGTTTACAACTCGTTCCTCTTACCAGTTGAGCTATCCCTTCGGGTTACGGGATCAAGTTTTGACAGCAATACAATGGGCAGTGTCATTTTTCAGATTCTTGTTATGTGGGACTCATATTGTATTTGTGTTTAACGGATAAAATTGACATCCCTGCGAGTACCCATAGCAATTGTTCTCACACATTTTCTGTATAGTTAATGAAAAAACATAATTTACCATTGTGTTATGTTGACTATTTACTGCAGATATCTAGCATGGTGTCATGCTGATTTTTTTTTTTTTAATTAATGACAGATAATGAAAACCAAGGAAAAGGAACGAAAATTAAAAGAGCAACCAGTATAACATAACAGCATATCTGTCATTTACATAGATTCAGAGCAAAGACAAACCAAACAGACCAAATCTCATTTATTACATGAAGCTTAAATAGATAAGCTTTACAGCTTAAACCATCATTAAGAGCCTTTTAAGGCTTGCAAATATTGGCACAATTGCCAAAGCACCTTTCCAGTCTTGCTCCATCTGCAGGTGAAAATAAAAAACAAAATGCAAATGAACCATCTTAGAAAACAGCCCTTCCATTTACAAACATAAGCAAAGATCTTTTATGGGTAATAACTTTGAGTGAATTACACGTAATCCTCTTGAACTATTATCTTTGTTTTAATTTATACCCTCAATTATAATAAATTTCACATTATACCCTAAAGTATCAATTTTGTTTCATATCATTCTAATAGATAATGACAAACTCGAAAATCTGTCAAAAAAAAGATGGAAACCCTAAAGGACTTCCTGCCAAATGTCTAGAACCACTTTATTTTACCTCTTTTACAACCAAATGGTTGTTGGAAAGAAAAAAAAGTCTAAAGCAGAGAGGAATAAAATTTAGAGCTTTAAAAAGGAAGCGAAATCATGAATGAGTATTTTTCTTATTTTTGACCTGCACATGTGTAATAGATAATTACTTATTAGATCACTCACATACGTATTTACCATCGAAAAATTGATAGCCGTTATCTATTGGAGTGATGTGAAACAAAATTGATGAAACAAATGTAATAGTTCAAGGGAATAAAGTGTAATTTACCCAATAACTTTCTAAGCCAGTTATGGAAGAAAATCATCCCCTTTTAGCTCCTTGGGATAAATTGATTGGATATCTAAGCATATAATCTTTCCTAGGAACTGCTTCTATGACGATAGATAGGGGTAAGGTTTGTTTGGCATCTGTGCCATCCCTTCCCACCTTCCCCTTCCCATGTCAAAGGCTTATCGTTAGCCATGCACGCATGACTCTGTATTTGTGTGTGTGCATGTATGCATGCATGCATTCGCACATGCGCGTGAGAGAGAGAGAGAGAGAGAGAGAGGATCAAGGTACCATAGCTGACTGGAGTGCACAAGCTGAATGAACAACCAATCTGACAATAGTACCGATAATCCGAGGGAGAGCGAGGAATGCAGTTGCTCAAGCACTTGCTGTAACATGGCCACCGCTGTGATGGAGTCTTAGTTTGGAGAACACACTGATTGTAGCATCCTCCCCAACAGGTATATATCCCTTTCACTGGCTCTGCTGTGACATTCTGTGCTAGCATGAACACCACCAGAGTAACCATTACAGCCCCAAGCCTTACACCATTCCTCTCCATGGCTAACCTCTAATGTTCTCTACTCAAAAAGTCTTACCTTTCTGTTTTGAAATATAAAACCAACTGTGTTCTGTGTAATTAACTTGTTTTGACATGGTTTGAAAAGCTAAACTAAAGTTGCTAACTTTATTACGTAACACAACCAACTTATTTAATGCTCATTAATCCAGTTGGTTCATTTTGTTGTAAGGGTATTAATGTTTTTTGTTGAGAAAACAAATCTTGTACACATTCATATCAAATTGCTAAAATCTTATCTGTAGAGTCAAAACTTTTCCCTTTAAGTCAAATTAATTGGTAGTAACCGCCAAGATTCGTAGAAAAATCTCAAAATTATCGTAAAGTTCTTGCTGGTCAAAGTTAATTGGACAGTACAACTGTGTCCCATATTGTAAAAGTATACTTAACTCTGTTTATAAGAACATTCTCATTATAAACTCAGACGTCTTGAGTTCAAATATTGACAATCCTTTAGAATTAGATCATGACGAATAAATTCCTTATGAATATTCTAGTTCTAGTGTAGATGACCTACCTTTGACCGGACCGTTTCAAGGAGGGAATTAGTCAAGATGTGCGTAAATTAACTTGGATACCTCAAGCCGTTGAACCAAAAAAATAAAAAAGAAAAAGAAAATTCTGACTATTAAGTGTACATGATGCTGATTCTCTCATACATCCCAACAAATATATAGAAATTAAGAACAAATATTTAGTCCACCTGTAGTTGTCGACACAATAAACCTTCTCCTTTCAAACTTTAATACACCAATAGTTTGTAGATCTATAAACTAAAAATGAGGTTTCATATGATTATCAACATAGAATCTGTAACAAAAACATTTCACATTGTTACCAACATAGAATCCATTTCTTATTGCTGTGTTGGCCAAATGATCAATTGCACTACCCCTGAAGCACATTGCCTAGATCCCATCCTATCTTATGACATATACACAAAGATTTTCCACCAAGGACCTATATATACAAACAAATTTATCAGTGAGATTAGACCCCGTCATAGTTCAGTATATGTCCCCGGGAATTATATATGCTAAACATTCACAGATGAGCAAGTATCAAAATATCGTTTCGAAACGGTCGAAATATCCGAAACATTTCTGTTTATAAGGAGATCAAAACGTATCAGTGAAGGAATCGAAATTCTAATATTTCGAGATATTCCATAATGTTTCAAAATGTATTATAATATTTCAATGCATTTGCACAATTGTTTTGGAATGTTTCAAAGTATTTTAAAATATTTTGATATATTTCAATCAATGTTTTATTCTTAAATTTTTTACTTTTTTCANATTATATATGCTAAACATTCACAGATGAGCAAGTATCAAAATATCGTTTCGAAACGATCGAAATATCCGAAACGTTTCTGTTTATAAGGAGATCAAAACGTATCAGTGAAGGAATCGAAATTCTAATATTTCTAGATATTCCATAATGTTTCAAAATGTATTATAATATTTCAATGCATTTGCACAATTGTTTTAGAATGTTTCAAAGTATTTTAAAATATTTTGATATATTTCAATCAATGTTTTATTCTTAAATTTTTTACTTTTTTCATTATGTTTCCGAAATAGATTGAAACGTTTTCGAAACACGCTGAAACATTTCCGTTTCCTAGGTGACCGAAATAATACATTAAAACGAAATTTTGATCCTAGCATACAAGTAAAAAACACATTGTAAAGTACTATGTTTTTGTTCAGGGACAAGAAACATGAACCTTAAGAAGAGAATAAAGTTAATGTCACACCTTTCACAAAGAACACCATTGAATGTCTTTCACTACAGCTGTGAACAAACAGAAAGTGTCAAACCATGGTTGTTGAGAAAATACAGTAACCCAATGCAGATTATTAAATTTTATAAATGCGGGAATGGGACAACAATACCAATAGACAGGCATTTCTAGCGAGAAGCAAAAGAAAATTGTACATTCATCTGTTTATTTCCATACTAATAGATTTTAGAAAGGAAACCATGCCCTTAGATATATACCTTCGTTTCATACATGTGCACCAATGCTCCTTGACAAGCTTATGCTACATTTCTATCCTTTTTCATTGGCCAGAAGGTAGAAGACAGAGTGCTTAATCCAAATAGCTCGTTTCATCTGTATTCAACCAGACAGCACCATGCTTCTCCTAAAATTGTAGGTGGCCAAAACAGAATACCGTAATGTTGAACTGGAACAAGAAAATTGGATTTGTGCAATTATCCAAATGGGTTTCCTCCTGCTGATGGAGATGGATTTGGGGCGTTGAGTCCTGGATATCTGCCACTGGACGGATGAATTGGGTTTAAGGAGGCAAAAGCAGCTTCCTCGCTGCGAAAGCTACCAATTCCTTGTGGTCTGCAATGATATCCAGCAAGACTTTAGATTATTGTTCCACAGGACACATACAACAAAGAAAGAAGACTTTTAATTATGTATTTCATGGCACTAACTATCAAACCATGTCAGCAGATGATCTGGCGAGTCAAGATGAAAACTAATAAACTGTCACTCGTGATGGAGCATGATGGTGTTAATTTCAACCCTTTTTTTTTTGTTAGAAGGAAGAATCACACCAAACCCGCTCCCTTCACAGCCTGCGCAACCTGCTCAGGTAAGGCATTTGGAACATGCTTTGGTTACACAAAATTCCGAAGTAGCCACTTTGAGTGGCTATGTAAGAGGGAGTTCCAGTTTTAAATGATGTCTATAGTCATGGTGGTGGTATGAGCAACTTATCTTCGAATAAGAGATTTCCAAAGCAAAGAATTTACCTGGAAATTGGCATATTAATTGCCAATGGTTGCCCCGTGTATGCTTCTGACATAATTGAATGAGAAATAAGAAAACAAATGGACTAGAAATAAAATAACGGGGACTTTGAAGTAGGCAAACTAATAGGATGTGATTTTACCAGGAGGCATAGTCATTCCACAAGAAGGTGATTGTAGGGCCAGTGCAGACGCATAAGGTGATGAGTGAGGCAGTAAGCCTGTAGAAGCTGACACATTTGCAAGTGCTCCTTGCAATGATGTCATAGGAGGAAACTACATCACAAAAAACACAATATTTCAAAATTTAGGTTGAAATTTTTGCTTCAAATTATAGAAAAGTCAAATCCTCGCAAACACTTGCATTATAAAATGTTGGCAGACTTAATTAATCTAACTATTTGGCATTCTTATTTTATATCAAGTAAATGTGACAACTTGCAATAAGTTTGTATAAGAATGACAACAGATTGTTTTGCAAACCAGTAATCCCCCACCATCATCCCCCAGTGAAGTTTAATGTTCGTAAGTTCCTTCTGCAGAGACCCACCAGCATCCTCCAGTAAATTAATGATTAATTTCTCGGGGGAGTTCAAATATGAGGGAGAAAATTTCCAGTGTAATATATCTATCGTACTTTCAAAATGCAGTTTGAAACATCTAAAACTTCTCACATTATCACACCACATATATGCCGCATAAATTGTTAACTTTTTAATGCATTATTCCAGCTTTACTTATCATCTCTTTATATGTTTTCATAATGCTGATGGAGGTATCTATAATGTTTGCAGAATACATGGTATTAAAAGTTTGACTCCTGCTTCTCTAAAAATTATTCATCTCCATGTACTTTATTTACCATGATTCTGGAGAAGCAGCAGCATGCAATTGGACAGACAAAAACCTGTTCTAATTAACCGTATTCTGCTTGGCCATGGATACAGGTAGGCATCTTATAAATATTACAGCATAATGTATAAATACCTCATCATAGCTTCGTTTCAACGAATATGAACCAAATTATGATTAAAACCTCAAGATTTGAACTCTGAAAAAATTCTCTATCTGATACATTACCTTGTTAGGTTATGCACTATCAACAGTGAGGAATACCTCAAGTTTTGAATTCTCAAAAAATAATCACTTTCCGATCTACTACATTCTTTGGTTATCCACTATGAACAGGCAATATATCAACATAATTTTATCTACTGTAGGTACACATAATACTAAAATAATCATAGGCATGAAAGGAAGTTCTAGATGGTAGGCCCTGGTGCAATGATAAACAACGGGTTTGAGTCTCAATAACACCCTTTCTGCTTGTAGGGATAAACCTATGTACATCTAATTATACCCCGCACTGGGGGGAACCTTATGCGCTGAGCTGCTCTTTTTAATGAAAGCAAGTCCTTATTATCATTATAACATTTTAGATAACATTTACAATTTAAAATAGAAGGTAGGGAGAAGGGAAATCAGTAGTCCAAAGGGACAAAATGAGCAAGAGCATACCATTGGGTTTTGGACTAGGGTGCTGTCATCACTGAGATCAAATGGGTTAGTGGATTTTGTAGGATTCGGAGAAGCTTGAATAGGCTGCAACAAAGATATCATGTTAAAATTATACATTTTCACCAGGTTGTCAAATTCCTTATGAAACTTATTTTGGCCCAACTATCTTGGCAAAGGAGATACCATTGCAGTGGGAAAGTATTGCATGCTATATCCCAGCCCAGGTGGTGGACGAAATTGCCAACTTGAAACTGCTGCAGGGAATGAGGAACTACTATATGTGAAAAGGTCCTGCAGATTGAAATCTACATAAGAAATTAAGTTTTTCAANGGGAACCTTATGCGCTGAGCTGCTCTTTTTAATGAAAGCAAGTCCTTATTATCATTATAACATTTTAGATAACATTTACAATTTAAAATAGAAGGTAGGGAGAAGGGAAATCAGTAGTCCAAAGGGACAAAATGAGCAAGAGCATACCATTGGGTTTTGGACTAGGGTGCTGTCATCACTGAGATCAAATGGGTTAGTGGATTTTGTAGGATTCGGAGAAGCTTGAATAGGCTGCAACAAAGATATCATGTTAAAATTATACATTTTCACCAGGTTGTCAAATTCCTTATGAAACTTATTTTGGCCCAACTATCTTGGCAAAGGAGATACCATTGCAGTGGGAAAGTATTGCATGCTATATCCCAGCCCAGGTGGTGGACGAAATTGCCAACTTGAAACTGTTGCAGGGAATGAGGAACTACTATATGTGAAAAGGTCCTGCAGATTGAAATCTACATAAGAAATTAAGTTTTTCGAAAAACTAACATAAAATGTGGGAACAATATGAGTAAAGTGTTTATTACTGCTGGAAGCTCTTTCCTCCCATTATATTTTGACACATCCCCTGTAATACTTTCTTGAACTGCCTTGGAGACAGCTTGAGATGGGTGCTCAGATGAAGCAAAAGGAGGCGTTCCTTGAGCATTTGGTGGAGGTGATGAAGGCCATGGCTGCAGATAGGCACCATAAGAAACAGACTTAGCTTCTGCATGTAAGGCAGAAAACATGAGGCAAAACATGTTCTAGAGCTCAAATGTTTTTCAACAGCTGCATTCCGAAGATTTTCTATCATCTTCAACCAAGAACAGTTAACAATGGTAAATCGAAGACCATGACACAAAGAATCCCCAAAAGTTTCTCACCTCATTAAATAAAGCGTCTTCAACAGATGGAGTACTCTGTTGAGCAGTATGACCACTATCCCCACCAGGGACTGCAGACGGCTGATGTTGCTGCATGGTTGGCAACTGCTGCTCATCAGTTTTTTTTACCACGGGAGCCTCGCTACTACTGGGCACCACTTGTTCATTTCCTACACGAGAAGCTGTGGGAACACCCTCATTAGAGGGAACTACCGGTGTGTTGATTGTTGATCCAGTTATGGTATCATTGACACAATTGGATGACGCTACAGATGTAGATGATGGAGTTTCACTACTGGTAGATGCCTCAGGCATAATACCTGCAGGCGCAGGTGCAGGAGCTGACAATTCGAACAATAAATATTCCAATGAATTCATATTTGGAGCCTTAGAAGCCTTTTCCATTGCGGAAGATCCAATAGAGGAGTTTCCAACATCAACAGACCGAACCATCTGTGGCGTTTGTGATGCTGCTGCAGCAGGAGGTTCAGAATCAGCCATGAAATCAATCAAGCTACTTGAGTTTACTGATTTATTTTCTCCTGATCTTCGATCAACAGACCCCAAACTAGTGGAAGGTGCTGGCTTCTGCAATGATAAAGATCGAAAGACCATAAAAAGACGCATTTTAAAATCCATAGAAACTAGACTCTGTGTGAGGCATTCAAAATGGACTCTACCATTCAAATTGAAGTTGAAACAATGAGGGTATAAGAGTCATAAAATACATTTAGAAAATCTCAATGTCTACTTCGAGCAGGACACAGGATGACTTTGAAGGAGGCATCAGGATGATCACTATGGTTGTACACAACAGTGCCACATATAAGTTATCATGATCGATAATGAAGACATTCTTTAAGTAAGACAATCCAATGTTGTAGTGATCAGGAAAGCAACAACATCTTCATTCGTGATAAAAAGAGGTGGAGATGGATATAAACTGTCATAAATAATGTTAGATTCCACAAAGAACATCTTTATTTTCACCTCGGCCGTTCCATGCAACTGTGCCTGATTTGATGCAGAATTACAGGTCATAATTGTCTCAAGAGCAGCAGCAACATACAATCATGACAACTTGCTAAAAAGAAGGCATATTTGAACAAACCAAAGCCAAAATAACTTCAAAAAAATGCATGATGCTATTCTTTTAGCCATAAAATAACAACACTACGCATAGATCAGCAATTTATAATACCTGCTCATGGGAAGAGCCATCAGCATCCCTCCCATCATTTGTCGTAGGATGCTTGCCTACGTGAGCATTCGCATCCAAAATATCTTTGAAAGGACGTAACACTGGGGTGTTGGTCATTTGGCCACTTATTTGAGGATCTGGGGACCTGCTACGTGCCCTGGACTCTGCGTCAGAAAATCGGAGAATTGCAGATCGCCCTCCATTTCCGTATCCATCATCTCGAAACCTGTCATCAACTACCTCAAAGTGAGCAGTACGACTCCTGTGACCACCAGCTCTCCCATTTTCTTGTTTGTATCGAGGACTTCTTCTTTCAGCAGCAGAATATCTTACATACTCATTCATGCCACTTGAACTGGGTCTTTCATAAGAACAGCGTTCAGAAAAGTCATCCCTGCTACCCTGACTGTACCTCTCAAAAGAACGTCGCTCATNCAGCAGAATATCTTACATACTCATTCATGCCACTTGAACTGGGTCTTTCATAAGAATGGCGTTCAGAAAAGTCATCCCTGCTACCCTGACTGTACCTCTCAAAAGAACGTCGCTCGTNCGAAAGACCATAAAAAGACGCATTTTAAAATCCATAGAAACTAGACTCTGTGTGAGGCATTCAAAATGGACTCTACCATTCAAATTGAAGTTGAAACAATGAGGGTATAAGAGTCATAAAATACATTTAGAAAATCTTATTGTCTACTTCGAGCAGGACACAGGATGACTTTGAAGGAGGCATCAGGATGATCACTATGGTTGTTCACAACAGTGCCACATATAAGTTATCATGATCGATAATGAAGACATTCCTTAAGTAAGGCAATCCAATGTTGTAGTGATCAGGAAAGCAACAACATCTTCATTCGTGATAAAAAGAGGTGGAGATGGATATAAACTGTCATAAATAATGTTAGATTCCACAAAGAACATCTTTATTTTCACCTCGGCCGTTCCATGCAACTGTGCCTGATTTGATGCAGAATTACAGGTCATAATTGTCTCAAGAGCAGCAGCAACATACAATCATGACAACTTGCTAAAAAGAAGGCATATTTGAACAAACCAAAGCCAAAATAACTTCAAAAAAATGCATGATGCTATTCTTGTAGCCATAAAATAACAACACTACGCATAGATCAGCAATTTATAATACCTGCTCATGGGAAGAGCCATCAGCATCCCTCCCATCATTTGTCGTAGGATGCTTGCCTACGTGAGCATTCGCATCCAAAATATCTTTGAAAGGACGTAACACTGGGGTGTTGGTCATTTGGCCACTTATTTGAGGATCTGGGGACCTGCTACGTGCCCTGGACTCTGCGTCAGAAAATCGGAGAATTGCAGATCGCCCTCCATTTCCGTATCCATCATCTCGAAACCTGTCATCAACTACCTCAAAGTGAGCAGTACGACTCCTGTGACCACCAGCTCTCCCATTTTCTTGTTTGTATCGAGGACTTCTTCTTTCAGCAGCAGAATATCTTACATACTCATTCATGCCACTTGAACTGGGTCTTTCATAAGAACAGCGTTCAGAAAAGTCATCCCTGCTACCCTGACTGTACCTCTCAAAAGAACGTCGCTCGTAGAAGTCGTCTTTTTCACCCTGGAGCACACACAACAGCATCAATTAGGCATGAAAGGTATAGAAGAAGATATAACAGAACCGGTATCAATCCCATTGTGACTGTGAATATGAGATCAAACATTATGTGTTTCCTGAACATTAATCACGTATTCTAATGTGAGCAAAGCTGTTTAAGGAAAATATAATGTCTTGCAGCGCATGTTTTAGAATGAGAGGCTTACCACTCGAACCATTGAGGTTTTGTGAGAAATCTCACCAGTATATTTCCTATCCACATAGACATGCTTGATAAAATCTCGAAGCCTATGAAGATTACTGGAGTGCAACATAAAATCTGTATCAAATTGCATTTTTAGTGAAGTACACAAACAAAAGGCGAAGCAAAATACATATTACCTGGCATCTGGAAAAGAATTACACTGTGGATCCCATGCTTTGAAATAGATTTGCCTTGCTCGCTATGAAAGCCATTGGTAAATGGAGCGGTTAATTAGCAGATGGGGAAAACACAAAAGACAGATAAATTTTGAATGAGAAATATTATACACACCTCATTTCCCCCAGCTTGCAGATCACTGACTTCTTCTGCATTAAATTTAGCCATTGAAACTGATTTTACTCGGTGCGTGAATTCCCTACTGTAATTATTACAGAAAATAATTAGGTAGCAAGAATCGCCTTGTTCAATTAACTTTAGATAATTTGGTAATATAATAAACATGGCAACTCCCATCTTAATGCTGAACATTACTGTATCCAGAATGCAGTCTCATATGAGGGAGCAATGTTTATGCATGAAGTAAATTTAAGAATGCAGGTGTGAAACTTACTGTACTCCACTACAGTTTGTGCAAACAAATGTACAGAAAGTCGTGCAGACATACTGTGGCCCCTGTTTAAGAAAACATGTCAACATTAGTATAGTACCATGTTAAGGAGTCATTCTTTGCCAGGAAGATCCCCACACAAATGCAGCTATACTTCTCCACACTGGTGTTCCCTAAAAGATGATGTTAGCATGACATGAATTCATCTCCGTGATTAATGTACCACAAGACCCCCCCCCCAGCCCAATAAAAAAAGGAAGAACAACATATAGACACCCTAACAATTTCATGGGAAAATCTCCAATCATCCTGGCAATGTCAACAAGACATATTGGAAGTAGGACTGTATCTGTCTGTGCAAATGACATCGCAAGGGCATTTTACTTGAGGGAGCAGCATTTGTTGCTCCAAAACTAGGTCTTAGTGTCGATGAAACATACATGGAGAATAGAGTCTAGCTTTAAGATTTTACATGTGACAGAATAATGCCATACAAAATTTTATCCTCTCAATGAAATTATCTTCTGCAAAAGAAACGTCAGAAGATGAATTCAAACTGGTGGAAGCACAGCTTGCAATTCTACACCCCAATGATTGTATTTAAAATTTCAAGTGCCTTAAAGAATCAACTACTTCATCTTTTCTTCCCATAAAAATCTCTCAGTGAGTGGAAATTAAGTGAATAGAAAGCTGAAAAGCTACAAGATTGTAGGATGTGCGGATGCATGAAAAGTTTTTGATCTTGTCTCCTTCCACCTTCTCAATCCAACTCAGCATTATGAAATCTAAATTAGCAAATTTCGGATAAAAGCTGAACCTGAAAATAGAAAAATAGATGTTGATGGAGCTTAATCATTTGTACAGGTGATCAAAGCTCAATGCTAGCCAACTAAATGGCAGCAGTTCTTGTTTAAGAAACCCAATTAGTCAATTGGAACCTAACTAGTTAACAGATACTTCTCCAGTGGTCCATAATCTCCAGATCATAGGGAGAAAAATAGGTGGATGGACATCTTTAGATGCGAAGGGGCCATAATTTCACAAGGTTTTTGTGGTCAAGTCCAGACCTATCGAACAATTATCTTGGGTTCAAAATGGCATCAAAATACATGTTTCAAGCACAATATCTCATAAGACCAATAAAACAAACATAGATATTTGTAATTTTCTCTCGGGAGGTAGTTATTTTTATTTTTCATTCTTAAAATCTTTTGGGTGAGTAAACCTCGCGAATTAACCATCGAGGATTTTTCTCAAACTTGCTTCAGGGCATAAAGCCAAAAAAACTGAGGAAGCTAATNGGTAGTTATTTTTATTTTTCATTCTTAAAATCTTTTGGGTGAGTAAACCTCGCAAATTAACCATCGAGGATTTTTCTCAAACTTGCTTCAGGGCATAAAGCCAAACAAACTGAGGAAGCTAATTTTAATTTCCTTGCTTGTTTCAATTCAAAGTTCAAACACAATGCATCCAATTTCCATAGCAATATAAAGATTAATAAATATTACAATTGTAATAAGGAATAAAAATCCTACTAAAACAAGCTAAGAACATTCAGATGGTCCCTACAGATTTATCAACCTACAGATCTCCCTAGTTATTCTAATGTCATACCCTAACTGATTGCAAAAGGAGTAGCACGGCGCAAGCAGAATAAATACAGCAATCAAATTCATACCACAAATTAAAATCATAACCAATTAATGTTATACAATTTCCCATACCAAACTGTTGCAATTTATGCATCTTCTATTATCCGGAAGTTTCAAAAGGCCCCGAATGATCCTTTCGATCCTCTCTTCTTCCTTCTTCCGGTGAGACATTTTGATGACTTACAATCCCTTCCCTGACAACAAATCAAGAAACTTATGGTTAAATTGCATATAATATAGAATTCAAAATCAAAATTTCTGAAAGTGAATTTCAGAAATTAGAGCATAGCATGACCAGATAAAAACATGCATTCAACAGCTATATGTAAGCATAATAATGCCTCGTGGGGTTGATGACAAAACATTGGATTTTTTTTTTTATTGAATTCAAAAGTTTCTTTTCCTTTCTTTAGATATCTTCCTTTTTCCTTAAATTTACTCAGCAACCAAACAGAGGGTAAATTGATTCACAGAGAAAGCAATCCACCTGGCGGAAGGGTTATATGTACGTGATTACTTGAATAAGCGCTTTCGAAATAGAGTAATAGACATTGTTGAGGCAAACAGGAGAGGTTAATGGGTAGGGTTGAGTTGAGGAGATAGACATTTGTAAGTGAAAATTGCTGGTTTTGGGAGAGAGAGAGAGAGAGAGAGAGAGAAGAGAAGAGAAGAGAGAGGTGAGGAGAGAATATTGGCGGTTTTGACGGTTGGGTGACCGTTATAATATCGGTTGTAAGAAAATAATTGCTGTTAAAAATTTGTGTTTTAGTGGTTGGTTGCATTTTGTAATAATTGGTGCTGAATTTTCTGTTTTTTTTTAGG